TATATAAACTATAAAGAACTAAATAAAATTATATTAAAAAATAAATACCCCCTTCCTTTAGATAGTAAATTTCTAAATAGCCTTAAAAAGACTTAATAAATCTCAAAGATCGATATTAAGGACGTATATTATTATATTATAATCTAATTAATAAATAAATAAAAATAAGATTTAAGATAAAATATAGTTATTTTAAATATATAATAATACTGTTCGGCTTTATAAATACGCCTGTATCGTTCTAAATATATATTCATTAGATATTTATTAATTTACTATGTATATATTATATAGTATATATAAATAACATCCTAATTTATTTTCAAAATAAGGATTAATATATAAAGGACTTCAAGAAGGTCCTTAAAAAGCCAAGAGCGTTTTACTTGTATATTAAATTAAATAAATATAGCTTTTATTAACAAAAAATTAAATTCCTAAAATATATAATTATTTTTAAAAAGTCTTAATAAATAAAGATCAAATACGGTCTATTACTAAATAAAAACCGTTATTTATATTTTAAAAAATATAGATATTCTTAAAGTATTATAACTTTTATTATATAAAATACTTAAATATAATATTATTAATAATAAGCCTTTTAAAAAAGGGTAAGTTAAAAAAACAAAGAATAAGTTTATTTAATTTAATAAAACCTAGGCCGTATTTAATAAATTAAAAAAACGTTTTTATGTTAATAATAATATTATATCATTAGGACCTTATAAAGGATATTAAAATAGATATAGATACCTCTTAAGAGGCATTTTTAGATGTCCTATCCTAATTTATTATATAAGCGTAGAAAAACGTTAGCTATAGGTAGATTTTAACCGCCTCCTTTAGAATCGCACTAAAAGTTAATTAAGACGCTCGAGCACTTCTAGGCTCATACTACTGAGCCACGTCGCCCTTAATATGTTTATAAATTTATTATAAAAATTAGCTTTTTTTTTTAGGTACAGGTTAGTTAAAGATTTGCCGAACCTTAGCTATAGCCTTATAGCTAAGGTATGCCTGGTTAGGTGCCCGTATATTAGGCATCTCTATCTATAAGTAACTATCCTGTTTATTAAAATAATAAAGAATTGACTAATTAATACTTAAAGAAACTTAAGATACTCGCTATAATAAGGATCTAAGACGATAAGAAAAATACGAAAATCTTACTTATAATATAATCAGTCCTCAACATTTAACTTCTTTATAAAATTAAAAATTAATTAGAAGATATTATTAAAAGTTGGAATATTGTGTTGTTATTAATGAATATTTAATTAGCTATAAGGAATAATAAGTTAGACTTTAAATACCTTAACGAAGTTATAATAATATCTCAAAATTAAGAAATAAAATTATTTTCTACTTTAAATAGACCTTGTAATATTATATAATAATGTACTTAGGTAGAAGTTACTAATAAGGATATATTTAAAGTAGACAATTCTAGCCTTAAAGTGATTTAAATTATTAAACGACTTAAATAAAAACAAATTAATTTATTATGAAATGATTAATTCGTTCTTTTTAAGAGAACAAATAACTATATTAAAAATATAAAAACCCTATTAATAATAAAAAAACCCTTGAAGTAAGGTTTAACTCGGATATGACTTAATAACATGTTCTAAATAGAGTATTTAGTTGATATTATTATTGTTATTTCTATAAAAAGAATGATAATTAATATTATTTATTACGATTTACTAATAAACCGATTTCTAAGGCTTATTTAAAAGTAGACCTACTTTTTTATATTACAAATATAGGAAATATCAATATTATTATTTTTCCTTCTGATCTATATTACCTTATAAAGTCTTTTAATAATATTAAAAAAGATTAATATATATTTTAACATATTAAATATTAAATCTGTTTCATATTCAAGTTACAAAAATAGCGACTAGAAACCCGGATAAACTTATTATTAATATAAAGGTGCCTAATATACGGGCACGCAACCGGGCCTAACTCAGCTACAAGGCTATAGCTCAGGTTCGGTAAAGCGTCGGTAAAGCCTAGCTCAAAAAAAAGCTAATTTTAATAATAACCTTATAAGAATATTAAACTAAAATTTATTTAATATATTAGGCCTATCTTTTATATTTCTCTTAAGTATAATATATAACTGTATTTTTAAAAATTTTAGACTTTTAAAATTTAATATAGCTAATATAGAGTAAAAATATAGAACTATTACAATATTAATAATTAAAATCAAGGAGAATGTATTGACAATATACCGATATTTTTAAAGTAATAAATATTAATATTAATAAGTTCTATAGTGGTTTTTTTTATAGCTTTATAGGTATGAAAGATTAACTTTAACAGGATTAGCTTTTAAGGGAAATTATGTAGTATAATACATAGTTTGATTATATAATATACGTAATATACCCTCTATATATACCTTATCTGATATAGTGATTCTAATTTAAAAGACATAATATAATTTAAATAAATAAATTATTCATTATTTATATAGCGGTATAAATTATCAAAGTCGATAATAAAGGTTAACCATTAAGGTTGGCCTTAAAAGGTCGAAGGTTACTAGAGATATTCTAAACTTTAATATCGAAGTAGAGGTTTTTAAAGAAAGGGCTAATATAGCTAATATCTTATTATTTATATTATAGCTCGTAAAGATACTCTTTATATTTATTATATTTTACATTATATATATAGATATAGATAAAATATAACTACTCAATAAACCTAGTAAATAATAATATTTATTAAGTATTATATAGTCGTTATTTATCAGGCTTATTTAATAATATTTATTACCCTAGATATATGTACCCCTCTCGGGCTTAATCGATTTAGCCTATTTCATATTCGGGTTATTGTAACTTATAAAGGTATATTAATAAAATAATATAATATTTTTAAAGATATAGTATTTAATTGAATAAGATTATAAACGTTATAAATAATTATATTAAATATAATATTGAAATTTAATAATTTAATATTAACTCTAAAATTATATTTTATAGAACTAACTTTATAAAGATATTTGATATTATAAAAAAAGTTCATAGATTTTAATAAAGAAGGAAGCTATTATATTAGATTTAGCTATTTATATAAATTAGTATTAAAAGGTTTTTTATATATTAAAGTAGGTAAGGTTGGCCATTTAGGTATAGGGCTAGAACTTAAATGGAATTTATATAGCGGAAGGTTAGGTAGAAGTTAGTAGTTAGGTATATAGTGTAATATACCTAGTTTTTTTATTATATAATATATTGTATATATTAGTGCCCCGGCGGATACCTCCGCCGAAGGGTTAATATTAGAATAATCAAGGCTTTTATTTTCCTTACTAGGGGTATACTATATCTTAAATTATATTTTATATAAAATGAAAAACAAGATTAAACTCTAATACCAAATAATAAAACTAGCTAATACTAATTTAAACCCCCGTTAATTTAAGTATTAAAGGAAGGGTAAAAAAAAGGTAAATAGAATAAAAGAGTATATATATAGTAAAAAGATATAAATAACTATAGAGAGATGAAATATATATAAAAGAGGTTTATAAATATAAAGAGAGTAATATAGTTAGATTATTATATAAAAGTTATTTATTTAACAAAAGATAAATTAACTTTATAATACCGAGTGCTATCAGATAAGCCTTTTAAGGGCCGGATTTATCGTTCGGTCCCTTGAACCCTTCCAAGTTATGCCTACATATACTTATCTCTACTAGGGTTTTCAGAGCAATGGGGCTGTGAATAGAATCCATGCACGTATTGCCACTGAGATCACGATCGAGATCAACTGTTCACGAGTACAAGTTCCGGGCTTGCGGAACTTCCCAAGATTGCAGTCAACGGTACCTCTCTAGTATCGTGTTGCCATGATCGTTGAACCAACAGACATTGGCAAAAAGACCCCGACCCACGGAAGGCTCAGAACAGGCCTGTTTCTCCCACATTCCGGATGGCCACCATCCAGAAAGCTGTTGGTTATGTACAACACAATGTGCGTTTGCCAAGTGTTGCCCCGGAATCATTCCCATCGGCCGGTAAAGCCGGCTACCCTAAATTGGGCTCCAACAGGAGAGCGAATATGATGGCTGAACACGGAAGGCCGATTGGAAGATCCTTGCTGGCAAGGTCTTCAGTTGGTTGATACATGCATGCTCATTTTTGACGACCAACGGCTATCAAACAACCACACAACCAACAGCGGGCAGCAGGCATTCTTTTGCTGCTTCTTGTGCGAATCTTACGATTTCCTACCTGGCATGATTTTGATAGGGTCGCTTGTACATCCCCACAGGATGAACTCCACACGCGTCGAAACCAACACAGGAGCACCTCATTCTCAGTTGTGCTGCCACAATTGCAAAAGTTACATTGTTCGGCAAAAGAAGCTGGTGCAACTCATGAAATAGGAGCTCTATGACCTTATAGCAACATGATTTCCAGATCTAACATCCAGGCTATGTCCAAGATCGAGTGCGAAGACACCATAATCAACTGATCGGCCGTTAATATTTCAGTAACGTAAAGCAGATACTTAGCGTTAGTTGGAAGACAGCGTCTCGATCCGGCAACTGTAAGATCGGACGATAGAACGACGAGGTCAGCACGAACGTCCAGTCCCCTATGAGGAACATATAGACCCCTGGAATCTTGACAGGGTGCCAACCTTTTTCGACGCCGCACACTAAGGCATGCATCCTGCAGTTCATTGTCCTTGCCTGCAGATTGCAAGGGTGTTCGGACTTTCAAGAATTTAGTACTGCCTACCCGTTTCTTCCCCATGTGGCAATGGGTCAGGAAAGAGCCGCCAGCGAGCCACCGAAATATTTCCACATCATTAACATGGCCGGTGCAAGGTGGTCACTGTTGCAAATTTGCGATTTGCGAGCGTGCCTGTTTCGACATCGACGAGAAGGCCAGAATGTGGAGGAGCAAAGAGGAGAGTCCATGGCATCCTGGGTATATTGCGGCACAGCCCGAGAGATCCTTCGTGGACCGCAGCTGTGACAGGCATTGCTGATGGGTCGACTGGCTTGTAACGCAACTCAACCGCCTCCCGAAAATTCCGTTGCTGCATCCACCTGTCGATGGCAAGGTTACATCCCACAACCCGGCATCCTGCAACTGGGGCCGCAACACATGGCCACACCAGAGAAGACCGATAGCTTTTGGGGTGGAAATTTCATATCAGGTCCCTCTCGAACTAGGGCTTTCTGGCCAAAACACTGCAGATATCCATCTCAAAGCATCACTCTGGAGTTTACTTTACTTCTTACTGATCAAGCGAATCTTACTCTTGTTCGACGGTAAGAGAGCCTCATGCCCTAGAAGTCTTTTACAACAGCCTCTCTGCTTCAGACAGAATTCTACCATGAGGTCTTTCGCATCACTGATTCTTGCCGCCGTGTCCATTGCGAGCGTCCAGCAGCATGACGTCGCTGCCGCCCCCACGAATGGAACTCACACAGGATGCTGCAAAAACCCTCTTGTCAGACATGAGTGGCGGCAGCTATCCCTAGACCAACGCCTAGAGTACATTCGATCTGTCAAGTGCCTGATGTCTCTGCCATCTGAGGGAAACGACCTCTGGCCCGGTGCAGTGTCTCGATTCGATGACTTCCAGGGTATGCATATTTACATGACACAGAAGGTGCACTTCAACGTAAGTTTCACCATGCTTCATCGGCCCGAGAGTCGATTCCCAAGATGGGAAATTCTAATGATTGAAACCTGACAGGGACCATTCCTCCCGTGAGTCGTAGACATCCAGTGTTCTGATCATGCTCTCTCTTAGTCCTGACTAACATTGCCCAGATGGCATCGCTGGATGCTTTACTTGTACGAGTCTGAGCTACGCAACAAGTGCTCGTACAAAGGCGCACTCCCGTATTGGGATGTAAGCCTGGATAACACTGCCGAGACCTTCGTCAAATCTCCCGTGTTTGACAACGTCTATGGCGTCGGTGGCAATGGGCCATACATCGAAGACGTGAGCGATAAGGATGAGTTCCCAGTTCAAAAGCCGATAACAATTCCGGGTAGAAGCGGTGGCGGTTAGTCTCATCATTGGTATTTGCATACAACGACAACTATCTAACATGAATGACCAGGCTGCATCGTTGAGGGACCTTTTGCGAACCACACCGTCCCCATGGGCCTTGGTAAGTTTTATTGCCTAGTCGAAACCGATGAATGAGTGCAAAGTTCACCACGCTGACCACCTAAGGATACTCGGTCACCTCAACACCCCACTGCCTCCGCCGCGACTTCAGTCTGCCCATCATCACAAGCGCCCTTCGCGATGAGGTCATTAACAATACTCTTTCAGCGGACTCGTTCTTTGAATTCAACCTGGCCATTCAGGGGTACAGCATGCAGGTCAACGGCATGACTCTTCATGCAGGCTTGCACATTGGCATTGGCGGCGCAGTCGGCGATGTAAGCAGACGTGACTGACTACCAGAATTGTCTGGTCTCTGGCTTCTCATTGATTGTTTGGCTGACCCGTAATCTCTTGTTAGTGTGCTGACATGTACTCGTCCCCCGGAGATCCCGTATTCTACTTCATCCATGGCGCCTTAGATAAGGTTTGGAATGACTGGCAGCGTAAAGGTACGTGTATTTTCTTTTCTATCTCATCAAGTAGTCATGGCCGTGTTCATTTTAGCTCGGAGATGCTGATGACTTCTTCGATCGTTGCAGACTGGCCTGCGCGGAAGACGGATATCGGCGGCCCAGATGTGATATTCGGCTATCCGTTCAACTATACCACGAATCCCACCTACGAGAACATCACTCTGCAGTATCCCCTGTCTTACCCTAATTTTGGCGAGGAAATGATCATTGCTGATATGATGGATATCCACGGGGGCCCTTTCTGCTACGAGTACAAATGATGAGAGCTAGGAACGACCTAGCCTACAGACAATGAAAATGCTAGTGCTGTAGCGAGGGCACACCTCACATCAGATACATGACCAGTGTATTTGCCTTAAGTAGTAATAACGTAATGTAGCATTTGCCATTTAATTATCGTTTTCAAGGAGGTGCAAATATGTTGTCGCAACACAGCTTGCCTGACAAGATTGATTGACACGTCGTGAGCCTGTGGTCTCAACTCGATGGAGCCAAACCGCCGCCAACAGCCATGGCGTCTGGAGCGCGTTTCGTCAACTCCTGTTCACATAATCATTTGGCTGACCAAGCAGTCTACATTTAGACATTGTGGACTCTCAGGCTAACCAACAACAAGCACCGACCAGAGCTCTCCCCAATTTACTTCCAGGGTATCAAAAGCTTCCACTGGAGGCGGGATATCCGAAAGCTAACGGCGGAACTCCACACGACACGTGTATATGCTCAGCCTTTTTGTTTCTCTCCTCTTTCTAGATGATAAATCTGTGGCTCAGTTCCGGCGAACTGGAATGCTTCCTAGCCTTTGTCCGTAAACATTTGGGCCCAACCACTGGTTAAAGAGAACCAAGAAACGATAGCCACGTCGATTCTACCACGGATAGAGGCACATGTAGGATTCCACGCCTGGTGGTAGTCATTTAGAGTTATGGTAGCTTCAAGGATCAAAATGCTACGGGCTGAAGTCTAGGATTCATCCGGCTCTAGCCATATCAAATGAGGAGGAACGTCTAAGTTTCACTGGCCGGGGGCAGATGCCGTCCCACCACCTCAGCTCAACGGGCATGAACCCCCTCATCCCGACCGCCACACTGAGACAACACACCAAGCTTTTTTCCTCCATGAACAAGGCGTGCGCTAGGTGCCCCAAGCTCCAAGCTGGCAACGCCACGCTCATATCCTCCACCACGGTCTCACCTCAGCCGCAGAGACCTAGCCCCACGGCACGCCCACCTAGCGTGACAACTACCTGGGGCCTGGAACGCAGCGTGTAAGCACTGTCGTGCCGCAGGAACATCTGCCGCTTCACCTCTAGAATGCTCTGGCATGTTAGTGTCGTGGTCCTATTCCCCCTTGACGGGTCGCGTGGCCGATCCAGCATGGTGGTTCGCTTAGTTAGTGTGGGAGCCCGGCGACAGCTCTAGAGTCAAAGATGGCGCGGATTTGGGGGAGGCTTGATATCTGCTTCTATACGAGATATGCCTCTGCATTGGGCCAGCCGCTCAAAAAAAGACTTGTTAGCTTATCGCTTTGTTCCACAACCCTATCCCGATTGCGATATTAGCTTCAGACAACGACTTTCAGCCCTCACCAAGCCGTTGGCGCCACGCAACCCCGAGTCCTCACTTTTGCCGGGCAGGGCTGACTGTCTAAGCTCAGCCGGGCCTATCCAGTAAACACATTCTATGGCAGAGTTCAAGAGGTCAGCGCTGTCCAAACTCTCCTGGCTAGTCGGGGGATACGCCGCTTCCGCCGTGTTCCCCGTTGGAGATTATCTGGTGGCGCGTGGCACTCTGTGACCAGCTACTGGTAACTTAAATGGCAATCATTTCGCCTCCACTCTGCTGGGTTCCCAATCTTCATGAATCCCATCTTTCTAATTGCGTGAATCGCGTTGCCAGAAATCATGGCTCCCATAGTCGATACCCTCATCATCGGCGCCGGCCCTAGCGGTCTGTGTGCCGCAAAGACACTCCTTCAACATGACCCAGCCGCTGAGATACGCATCCTTGACGGTCGCGCTTCGGTCGGCGGTGTCTGGTCGAAAGAGCAGATCTACCCGAACCTGAAGACCAACAACCTCGTCTCGGCGATCGACTTCTCAGACTTTCCCATGGACCCGGAGCGCTTCGGCATCAAGATTGGCGACCATGTTCCTGGGAAGGTTATGCACGAGTATCTCGTCGCCTACGCCAAACATTTCGGCGTATGGGACAAGATCCAATTGAACACAAAGGTCGTACGTGTGACTCGCCCCGAAGACGAGGGAAAATGGAACATCGATGTCGAGGAGAACGGCGAAGCAAAGACTGTAACCTGCACACGCCTCATCGTTGCAACGGGCGTCCTCACTGTGCCGCATATCCCCGACATCACCGGCTCCGAAGAATTCAACGCCCCCATCATCCACTCTTCCGATCTCGGGCCAAAGGCAAACCTCTTTTCCTCTCCTGAAATCACCACCGTAGCGGTCCTGGGCGGGAGCAAGTCGGCATACGACGCGGTTCACTTAGCCGCCTCTACAGGCCACAAGGTCCGCTGGCTCATCCGCCGCTCCGGCCGCGGGCCCGTGTGGGTCGCGCCGGCGTTCACGCAGCTTGGTCCGTTCAAGGTTTGGCGCGAGAGGCTCGTGACGAGGAGAATCTGCGCGTTCATGTCGCCGTGCGTGTTCCCTGATTTCTCGGGTCTCGCATGGGTCAGACGGTTTCTACACGAGAGCGCTGTCGGCCGGGTGCTTAGCAAGACCTTTTGGAAGCTGATCCGGCACGACACGATCAATGATTGCGGATACCAGACGGATGAAAAGACGAAGGTGCTCCAGCCGGAGCAGAACATGTTCTGGTAAGCTCAACTTCCTCACGATGATCACGCATAGCATCGTCACTAACTCCACTCTCCCCACAGGTACGGCACTGCTTCTGGTATCCTCAGCTTCGACGACGATTTCTTCGAGTACGTCCGTAACGGCACAGTCCAAATCTACCGCGAAGACATCGACCACCTCTCAGACCACAACATCCACTTCACCGACGGCTCAAGCATCTCCGCCGATCTCTTAGTCACTTCAACCGGCTTCTCAGCAAAACCAACCATCAACTTCGAACCTGCATCTCTACATTCAGACCTCGGCATCCCTTCAACATCTCTAGGACCTAAACAAGAAGCATTCTGGAATGATGCAAACGCAAAGGCAGACGCCGCGATTGGCACACGCTTCCCACGCCTACTAGATGGTCCCTTCCAAAGCCCTACATCCTCAAAGACAAAGTCATTCAACCCCGGTGCTTCAGCAGAGGTCTCCTACACCCCCTGGCGCCTCTACCGCGGCATCGCCCCGCCAGGCCTCGCAGCGCGCGACGATCGCTCCCTCGTCTTCCTCGGCGCCTTCAGCAACCTCGCCAACATAATGCGTCTCGAGGTGCAGTGCCTCTGGATGCTTGCCTATTTTGAGAACGGGATCCCCAACTTTGACGTCGACCGCCGCGCGGGCCGCGTCTTCGAGGAGACGGCGTTGTTCCAGCGGTGGGCGCAGCACCGGGCGCCGTACGGGCACGGGCGGTTTTATCCGGATCTGGTTTTCGATCAGTTGCCGTATTGGGATATGTTGCTCGGCGATGTCGGGGTGGAGACGGCGCGGAAGGACGGCATGTGGGCCGAGTTGTTTGAGAGCTACACGCCGATGGATTACCGCGGCATGGTGCAGGATTGGATTGACCAAAACCGGTAGACATCTACATGACTCTGTAATGACAATGATACCCGCAGGTGTAATGATCAATGAATGATCATCAGTAAGAGATTTAGTTTATTGCCATGGTCTATGTGTTCTCAAGCTAGTTGGGATGTTCGTGACGGCCTAATATCGTCGATTTGTTTCCATCTTGTAGTCTGAGTCAAGCCCGAATGTGAGCAATCGTCAGCGCGCATATCTCGAACAGATTTGCCGAGGTGTCCTCCGCCATAGACCTTCCACTGCGCTTGGAGTAGCTCTATGTCATCTCCCTTTCACCTGCGCTCCGTTCTGACACATGTATCAAAGTTTCTGGCCATGTTTCTGTCCCGATATTGGCGGTTTTATTCGATGCCGAAATTCAGTACGGGACTGCCTAGAAACGATTCGCTCGTAATTAGACTTTCACCATGTGATGAACCTTGGCCTGAACGTCGGTACTTCTTATCTTTTTCACCTGGAGCATCGCTTCGCGTCATTCCTAGCTTATCAAAAGTACGGTCGCAAATGGGATCCCTGTAAAACGTCACGACTTCTGTGACGTTGAAGCCTCGGGAAAGACTTCCACCAATGGGAGTATAAAGGTAGTAGAATGTTGAGAGCACCAAATTGGCACAATGCGTCTTGGAAGCATGGGGTTCACCGGTTTTCCGATTGGTACGATCTGACAGTTACACTATTTGCACATTGGTCGCCAACTTGCCGTTCAACCTTGTCCCCTCACCATCAGAAAGGTTCAATCTCACGCGTATGGGCAATTTCCTTCATGTGATACTCAGCTACAGATCTCTAGCACAGGCTGCAGCATCGGGTATAAGAAGACCTCAGATGTCTCGCACACCGCCGATGGGGACGTGAGGAGCATGGTGGAGGGAGTTGTAGTTGAGGAAACTGATTGGAGAAATTTGCGAACACGGATTACTTTGAAGACGAATAAGACCAAGGTAGGACATAGCAGGCTTCGCACCCCGGCTATGAGAGAAAATTGACAGTTGTCTGTACTAGGCGCGATGGATTTCGACGAAGTCCAGGAGTTCGAGTCGTTTACCGCTTTGCTCGAAGACGACGGTGTCAAGCAGGAGACAATGTCTGACTTTCAACCCGAGCCCGCTCAGCTCGTGAACTTCAATGCTGACGCGCTGCTCACTGACGAAATGTCCCCAGGATTGCTCACGGGCGATTCGGCCGGTTCATTGGAGGACTGCGGCATTACCAGCTCATCCAACGCCCTTTAGAGCGTGAGCTTGGGACAGAGCCAGTATCTCCTTTCTGAACCTGGTCCGGATCATTCTAGAGTGATTCGCAATGATGAGACATCGGAACATTCTTTTGTCGGCAAGGAACCCCCAAAGGGCTTGGTAGACTTCCCCAACATGGAGGAAGGACACGTTACTATACAGAAGGAATTTGAAGAGGAGGATATACCCCTTCGAGAGGATGAGAACTTCTGGTACGGATTCTATTTCTGCACTTGGCCTGGTTGTGATCATTCATTTCTCACACCTAGCGCAAGGCGGTGAGTCTTCCGAAGATGAAGCCATCATCGACATCAACGTGGACTAATGAGGCATACAGGAAGCATTTCAGGCTCCACTTCAAGCCCGTTCTCTGTCTTGCGTGTCCAAAGAGAATGGCCTGGCAGAGAGATATGCAGAAGCATTACGATACCCATTTCAAGCGGCCGCGTTATCGGTGCCGATGTGGGAAAGATTACACCAGGATGGATAATCTCAAGAAGCACATCAAGAAGTCTAAGCCCACGTCCAAGACGGTACGGTCGAAGCTTTGAGGATGCATCGTGGTTTGGTGCATTCTGTGTCAAAGCAATTCTGATTTTGGTTTGAAGCTGGAAAACTTGAAGAAAAAAAAGAACAAAACAATTGAAATTTCCAAAAATGTAAAAAAAAATCGAACAGAACCTAAGTGCGGGAGAGAGAAGGAGAGAAATAAACACACTCGTTTGGCGTCAAAAATCTCTAATCCCTGCCTGCTTTTCAAAGTAACGCGCCACCTCCATCATCATCATCCTCGGCCTCACGATCATTCTTGAAATTTCCACCGTTCCCAGGCTCTCCACCGTCTCCAAGTTCCTCTGGGCGGCCTTCCTCTCCAACGCCCGTTGAGATATCCAGTAGGCCGATCGCACTGTCCAGACTGAATACTATCGATGGTACAGCGTACCAAGTCAGTCAATCTCGTCCTAACTCTGTATCGCGTAGAACTTCGAGTGCACTCACCTTCACTGGACGGGCCAGCTTCACTACCATCCAATCCCTCCGTCTCAGAGCCCGTGTCACTCTCGTCAACCAAAGACGCAGTGATCTCAGTCAGCGAGTCCGGACGTCGTAGTGTCGCCGCATGCAGCTCTCCGAGATGGTCAATTACCATAGGCTTCAAGTCTCCAATCACATCGTTGATGATCTTTCGCTGATTTATCCATCCAGGATTCTGTTTACCACCCACCAGACTCACGATCCCCCAATTCGGATAGACCTTCTTATGGGCGTCAAGCAGAGTAACCCTAGCAGGATGATGTCGAGTATAGGACTCACAGCCAACGCACGCCGGCTTGCTGCAAGCAATGTACCGATCAGCTGAGACGTACCTCCTCCCGCTTTCGAAGAAATGATGAAGCATCTGCACTTCAGCGTGAATGCAAGTCAGTAGCCCGCCGACTTCGAACTTATTGTGGAGCCTGGCCTCAATATCGACTTGCGGATTCATTCGCTGAAGAAACCCTAGGTATGAGTTGTATCTGGAGTCCGTTTCTGGCAGAATGCGGTTCAGGATGCGCGGTAGTGTTGTGTGTGCATCTGCTTCTGGCACGGACGCGCTGATGGGGCGTCTGACCGCCGCAACCTGGTAGGTCTTTAGAAGATTCTCCATACGTTTGGAGTCATCAAGGAGCTGATTGACGCTTCGGATCCGAGCTGCTAGACGGCCGATCATGTGTCTGACTGCACGGAAAGCCTTGGTGATGTCATCTGGATGGGCAAAGTCTTCGGAGTCTTGACAATGACCGAGCTGTTCGATGCGCCGCATTTCGTGGTCTTTCCGTGAGCGATATGCTGTCCGGCATAGAATGGCATCAGGAGTGTTGTCCTCAAACCTTCGAAGCCACTTGATGAGCTTAGCATCTAGAATCGTGCAATCTCAGTTTCCATGGGTGCAAGGTGTCTGAGAAAGAAAAAAAGGATGACTTACCAGCTTCCTCAACACTGCTTTCCAGACTAATGCGACACTTGTTGGCAGAGCTGCGAAGAATTCTAGACTCTTGTCGGAGTCGCGTAGCACCAAACACTGTACACCGAGCTACTAGTGCCTCCTCCGCCGTGACACGATCATCGAACCGCTCACAAAACACGCGCAACCTCTTGAGCACATCCTTGAGGAAGTCCATGACCTTATCCCCAGCACCCTCATTCAACGCGACCCAGAAGACGTAGCAGTCGCTGCGGTCCTCAACGGCGATGGCAGCGGCGGTACTTCCTCCCTTTCTGTAGTCGCAAAGAAATGCCAGATTCTTGAGAAAGCGTCGTCGAACATCTTGCGTCGTGTAGTTTCCGAGCCGAGAAACGACGTGTGCCCCGCCGATTGGGCGGATGATGGAGAGAAGAACCAGGGCTTCGTAGAGACGGAAAAGGAGGCGCGCGTAAGGTTCCATTCGAGGTGTAAGTGCCATTTCCGCGACCGTTCTTCGAGTCTTGGCTGCGTTGATGAGTTGATGATCTCAATTGTCTTGGTTTCAGTCACAAAAAGGTCGGTGATACGGTCTGACAGACCTCGCTGGCTTGATCGCTATCGAGAATTTGAAGGGACGAAGGGAAGCTGGCCTGTGGATCAGAGAGTCTCGTTCGTCCGCCAGCGGCTTCCCTTCGTCGCAGGCCAGCTTTCCTTCGTCCGCTCGGTTTCCCCCGAAGCTGTTGCAAGTTCGTTGTGATGAGAAATGCTTTGGAGTTTAAGCAGGAGGCCCTCCAGCACACGGAGCTTAAATCGAAAACAAGATCAGATTTTCCTTTGAGTCTGCAGGCGGGGTCTGGCGTAGAGTTTCGCTCGAGACTAATGGAGTCGAAGTTTCACCACCAATCGACGTCATATTCGAGGATAAGCTGGGCTTGCAGTGATTGGATCACACAACGGAATGGACTGGAAAGCTTGGTTCTAGGAAAGCGGGCATCCGACCTGAGATTGGTTGCCAATAACTTCATGTCGCATAGATTGGAAACTCAATTCAACCTGCCGCACCACAGGGGCCACCTTCGGTCGACATATCAAATCGACGGCGAACCTCCAACATCCGACTGATTTGCATTGCCTTTCCTGTAAATTGACGTCGAACTAGTTCGATCAATCTCTGTCGCCATCGGAATTATCAGGTTCGAGCCACCTGTCTTGTCACGGATACCAGTAGTCAGTGTAGACGTTGTCTCCTTACTAGGCACCCTCAGAGCCCGGACAAAGTACACTAGAGCAGACAAACCCACCTCTTCTTCAGGGGAAAAAAAAAAACAAACGACGACACCTCTAGAACGAGGTCGCCGGTGAAACCGCAAAAAGGATGGACGATCTGGGAATCGAACCCAGGACCTACCGCATGCTAAGCGGTCATTATACCACTAAACCAATCGCCCATGGTATGATCTAGCCCGGACTTGAACCGGAGACCTTCAGTGTGGCAGACGAGAGGAGCGAGACTCTCGAGCTGTTAGACTGACGTGATAACCAACTACACCACCAGACCTTGGTGAATGAGCAGCCAAGATTGGCAAATATACATGTTGCGGTGAGGAATTGTGCGCGTGTGAGAAGTGGGATGTGTGTGGTGGAGATGCGTGAAGCGAAAGCAAATGCAGAGGCGGGCCGAGATGCAGGGTGTCATCCAATGGTCGAGTGCCGTTGTGTCGGCGTTGACAAGGGTAGAAGAGTGGGAATGGGAGCTGCAGGTGGATGCGGGAACCGAGAAAACAACATTCGCGTCTTATGTTGAGATGCGATTCTGGTGTGGCTACCAGCTAGCTTGTTGCCATTGCTGCGGGTATGAAGAAAAGCGAGCAAGAAGATGGCAAAGCTCGCCACGGCAACAAGTTAGTGATCCAATATTTCCAGGCAGATGCTTCTCTCTCTCTGTCGACCTTGAAGAGCGTTGTCATGAGAGTCCCCGAACAAGAACACACCCTAGTGAGAAGATTCGGCCAATGATCGCGTCCGAAAGAGCACAATCGCGAGTTCTCAAGGCCAGGGGTACCATGAACCGCGTCAGTCGCGACTTGAGAATGGCAGAAAGGGATGCGAACAATAAGGATAAGGAACGCCAAATGGCCGCAGGCATGGTCGAGGAATTGTTTTGGACGACCGCGGCTGGGACGGGAACGATTGGCTGAACGCGCGGGTGCGGAGCGCGGGGCGGGCGGGGCCGGTAAAGATGGGTCCTTTGGGCCGGGGTGAGCTTTGCCGCTAGTCCTGAATGGGAAGTATGTAAACAACAGCTCCGTCTGGCATCAACAACAGGTTGGCTGAATATGAAAAGAAGGGAGCGGGTGAACAAACGAAACACAATATCGAGTTTGAAAAATACCTGCTTGAAGGGATTATTGATTCGTATTTATCCCCAGTCTCGTCCTGTTACAGGTACGCTGCTACATTGTATGCTTCTGCGTGGAATCATTCCCTCCTCTAGACCCGGATCATCAGCGTCCTCATCCTCCCCGAGGGCGTCTACTTGCTTCACGATGACCAACGATGACCTCCCCATCGCGTTACGGCGCACACGCCGTAGCATGCCTGCGCCCTCTCATGAGCCCTCACCAGCTCCAGCACCGTCCCAAACACCACGCAAAGCACCAAAACGCCGAGTCCGCTTCTCGGACCCAGGCTCTTCATCAGTAGTAGCAGCAGCAACAACACCACGAACAACCCGCATCGCCTCAACAGGTCTCACACCCATGATCAACCGCACAACTCTATCGCGAGGCGGAGGGGTGGGTACCCCATCATCCTCGCGCCGCCGTCACTCCATGCCAAATGCACCCTCCGGCGCGGCAACAGACCTGCCCCCAAGCGGCGAAGTCCACTTCCTCCCCCTCCGCCAAGTCCTCTCAGGCCGCGTCCAGCGCCGCATCCGCCGCAACGGCCTCAGCGAGGAAATGAACACCATCTCAGCCGAAAAGCGCGCCAACGCAAAGGAAGCCAGGGAACAACTCCAGTTACTCCGCGACCAACTCCGCCAAAAGGACGCGGAAATCTACGAGCTGCAGAATGCGACCATCATCCTCGACACAGAGCGTATCTGGGCTCTCGAAAAGGAAGTCGGCGACCTCCGAACGCAGCTTGCCGACAGGTCGTCTGCGTCGGCAAGGCAGAAGAGCTGTTTCGACTGGACGCTCGCGGCGCGGGACCCGTTTGCTGACGACTTCATGGAGACGGATACCGTCGAGGCGGAGTCTGTGTGCGGAGAGAGGGTGCAGTATGCCGACGAGACGGTGTTTGGGGAGGCGACGATGGCGGAGATGGAGTGTAGTACGCCCACGCGGGTGAGGTCTTCGTTTCTGACGCCGCCGTTGACGAGTCCCGTTGCCGCTGGGCCTTCTACGCCGTCTTCTCATCGGGAGAAGCAGAGAGTTTTGGTTCCGGCGCCGTCGGATGCTGGGGTGCAAACGGATTTCCCTGATCCTGAGAAGAAGCGGCTCGAAGAGGAGCTGGCTTCTTTGAGGCTGGAGATGTCGAAGCTTACTGGCACGTTGGAGTCTTACTCTGCTCTTACCGACCGACTTTCCCATAAGCTTTCCACTGTTCGTCCAGAAGAGACATTGTCGGATTACTCCATCGCCACAATCGAGACTCAAATCACAAGCCTCCTACGCACCATCTCCGACCGCACCGCCGCACTCCAGGACCTCAACACATCCCTCTGCGCCCTAGGCTTCCCCGGTTCCGACGGCGCAGAGATCGTAACCTCCCTCTCATCCGCACTGCGGACAGCCCGCCTGGAGCTGGAGTACCTCACCCCAGGCGAAATCACTCTCCCTCTCTCCTCCCGCGGCGCAGAGGTCCTCGACCTTCTCCTCACGCGCCTGCGCGACCTCGCGAAGCGCGCAAAGGAGGATGAGGCTTCCATTGACGAGTACCATGAGCTAGAGCTCTCTCTTCGCCAACAGCTCAGTGCGCGGGTTGCAGTAATGGGTGAGCTAGAAAGCGAGCTTAAGCGTGCAAAGCAGACGATCACGGAGAAGGAGGGCCGCGTTGGCGAGCTTGAGGTCAGCGTTGAGAGACTCAAGGGCGCGGTGGCGGGCTACGTGCGTGATTTCACCGAGTTAGAAGGCGTTGTAGGGCGCATGGAGAGCGAGAATCGCGATGCTATGGCGACCAAGGACGCGCAGGTTGAGGTTGGGAGGCGAGTTCTACGCGCCAAGGAGGATGTCATCGCGAAACTGGAGAGTAAGCTCGCGGACGCGGTGGCGCAGGGCCGGTCGCTGCGGAAGAGGCTTACGGAGGCGGAGGAAGCGAGGACGAAGGAGGTTGCGGAGGTGACACGACGGGGCGGAGCTGCGCTCGCGGTGCGGGATGCGAGGGTTAGGGAGTTGAGGGAGGAGTTGGAGAGGGTGAATGCTGGGTTGAGAGCTGCGCATGAGGGGATTAAGGATTTAAGAGTTGAGAAGAGGGGATTGGAAGGCGAGATGGTGAGGGAGAGGGAGGCTGCAAAGGGGGTTATTGCGGGGATGAGAGGGGAGTTGGAGAGGGTTGTTGGGATGAGCCGGGAGTTTTTGGGGCCCGGGGCGGATGAGGCCGGGGCGGAAGGTGCGGGGCCGGAATGTGGGGTCACTACCGGGTCGGAGACGGGTTCGAAGAGGGGCCTGCTCGCGGGAGATTTGGCGCGGAGGTCGTCGGGCAGGAAGAGAAGGAGGTATGACAGCGGCCTGGGATTCCTGGAAGAGGATGAGGTTGATGCATGAAGCTAGCTGTGCGACCTTGGGATTGAGGCATTGCATGCGTGGTGGGCGCACAAACATCACTCACACAGGATGTAGAGGAGGGCGTTTTGGCGCATGTTCCAGTCGTTTGCCGGTAGTCGCGGCTGTGTTTCTTATGTCGGTTGTAGACTCATCTTTGCTTTCGCCGGGTTTGGGTAGACGAACGGGCGGGGCGTTGGAATGTAACGGGATTCAATTTGAGCTTTTCGCTTGACGCATGCGCTTACACGTGGACCACATCGCTGAAGACAGCTGTAAGCTTGATCATGTTTGGCAGTAATCAAAGCCAGCCAAAGTGGAAATATTATGATTGGACTTTGTGAGCGATCGACTGTTTAGACGCTTCTCTATCGCCAAGTTGTTAGGTTTCGCGCAATTGAAGCCATTTCCAGATGATAGATGTCATCCAAGGTACTCATGTTCGTTCGCCTCTCCTGTAAGCCCCAATGACAGACATTGAGAATACTTCATCAACAGTCAAACTGTAGCGAATAAAGTTGTCGGCCTCGTTCAATTGATCTTCTAGTCGCATCCCGCACGCAATCGACTCACAACCATGCCGCATCCGCACCCATTCCACAGTTCGCACCAAAATCCCCCCCACCACCAACTGCCGCACCCACCCGCAACACCATCGCATCACATCACATCTTCATGATGCGTAACACAAGAAACGGCCGCATGCGTGCAACACCAGCCCGCAACCCGACAACATGTCCTACACGAACATCAAAAACAGGCTCCCCCAGCCCCTTTTCACTCTCTCTATCCATACAAGTTTCCAATTCAATCAAAAGATCTAATTTCCCGGCAGAATTCCTTCCATGTCTTCCTCAGATTCTTCACAAGCATCCCAAGATTCCCAAATCCATTCTCCCAGCGCAAATCACAACCACCACCACCAATCCGCAAAAATGTTACCCCCCAAAACGAAATTCGTACGCGAAATGGAGCGCAACAACAACCATACGCGCAAATCCACATCCCCATCAACAACCCCATCCCCCAAAATCTTTGGCCAAAACCACACATACTCAGCCCCCTCGGTCCCAGACATGACCTACTTCGCCCGCATCCTCCACTACCAACGTTACGGCCACGACGGCCTCGCCTGCTCCGGTGCGTGCTCGAGTAATTACACGCTGCCAATGTACGAGAAGCAGGGTTACATGTCGCCTTACCAGGTCCGGTACACGGAGCGTCCCGGCTCGCGGGGCTCAGTGCAGAGCGATGCGTCCTTTGATGTTGCGGGATACCGGCGGGAGTTGGGAGCTGCTGGTGTGAAGAAGAGGAGGTGGCATACGTTTTTGGCGGTTATTCTCGCGTTGTTGATTATTATCTTTGGCGCGGGTGTTTTGGCTTTTGTTTTATTGTCGATTCGGTTGAGATGAAATTGGTGTTGTGTGGTCAATTGTAATACGGGTGAAAATGGCTTGGGTGCGGCGAGCGTCTGTAATGTTTTTGGTTATGAAAAGTCTTATTTCGTGTTTGGCAAGCGCTCTGAGTCTTCCGAGGTATAAAAGCTCCAGGGAGATTTTAGTCTATTAATCAAGGTGTCGGGAGTGTGTTTAAACGTTCTTATCAATGGATTGATTTGGCATGCATTTTGTTAAAGCATCTTTGGCTCTCGTTCGAGGTCGTTCAAATCTCTGTGACTAATGCTGACTAAGATAGTGTTGATAGTTGCCCCTCCACCCCTCTTTTCCTAGCCGTCACGATCCCTCGGTAGTACTCCACATTGATTCTGCTAGAGATTTTCGTTCAAGCGACCTCGGAGATCGCTTCCTCAAATTTGCGTCGACTCAAGGCACATCCACCAAAATACATGCCTCAAACCTCAATATGACGACCCCCATCGGCGAAACCTCCCTCCAGACCCTCCTCTCGACCCTAACCACCGTCCTTCACCCAGAAACCTACGTCTTCGTAACTTTGTCGCCGGACGCAACACTACCACCCCTCTCTGAGATTCAACTTCTGTTCCGAGAGTCTGAGGGCGTCACTCTGATCACTACTCGCGAGACTGCAACTGCTCACGGATGGGACTATGCCTTCCCTTCAAAGATGATTACCCTCAATGTACACTCGAGCCTTGAGGCTGTGGGGTTCATGGCTGTTATTGCGACGAGGCTGGCAGACAAGGGGATGGGGGTTAATCCTGTTAGCGGGTATTATCATGATCATTTGTTTGTTCCTGTTGGTAGGGAGAAGGAGGCGGTGACAGAGTTGGAGAGGCTTGCTCTTGAAAACCAGAACCGGGGTTTGTGATAGTTGTGAAGTAGAATGAGCCAATGCCAAAAATGCGCAGGCTATCCCATCTATCGCGGCATACCGTCAAGATCAAAGCATGTATTTGAGGAAGGGGAGTAACTAATTGAAGAATAATCCGATCTTATATCCGATATTCCTACGAATGATTATTCAAAAACCTTCCCGAAATAAAGAGAAACTGGACTTAAATGTACCGACGTCATGCCGCAATAGATGGGATAGCTTTTCTCAAATATCAAGTGATATTACGTACCAGAAAACTAAGTCACACCAAGGCAGGTAATTCCGAGAACTTCACTGACATAAGAAACTTCTCGACCGCTTTGACTATCACGATTCCCGACTTGGAAATATGGCACGGTTGGTTGGCTGCTGCAAGGCGTTAGGCTGAATGGCGGCCATGATCCATACAACGTTCGACTTGAACATGCAGATGTTGCAATAGAAGAACAAGACCAAATTGTCAGGCCCCTATAATACGAGTTTCTCAAGTCAACAATGAGCACCGAGGACCGAGGCAATTGCATGTTGCATTACGTAGCCCCGAGCTTCATAGGTACATGTAGGTACATGTACCTAAGGTAGGGGTAAACACGAGCGAAGCTACAACATGCGCCCACCGTGTGAAGAGTGCCAAGTAGGTAAAATATGTACTTGAGCGAACATAGCCTTTTCTGCACCCTCTAACTCAATAATCCTCACCCTCGAGAAGAGAAAGTCTCTTAGTGGGGGGACGTTGAGAAAGGTATACATATCACTTTCAATCAATCCTTGCGACAGTTCAATTCGCTCGGCACGTGAGGTCCATCATCGAAGGTGGCCTACTTCAAGGCTCCGCCATTGAATGAGCATACAGAAAATCATTCTAGGCTATCAGGTCACTATCAGGCATTTCTGCGGATTCAACGTCGTGACAGGGAGAATGGGAAGGTACGATTGGTGCATTATATATTATGCGTTGTCAATTTTTAGACCAAGTACTAACAAGATGGCAAGAAGCACAGGAAACGCCGTGTGAGAAACGCACACTCATCGGTCTGTCTTGGTCGTGAGGACCGTCACTCTGATTAAAGTACAGCCTTTATTTGTAATACGGCTCGATGTTGCCTCGCTCCGTGCACTGGAATAGGGGCAGTAGCCTGTTAACTGTCAGCTGCGGCACTCACTGTGCCTTGGGTGCTCGGCTGTTGCTTTTTCCGTTACCCTTGGTGTCCCGGCTACGAGGCAAGGATGACAGAAAAGCTGAAAGATAGGACAAATCAGAAGGGAATGTCAAGACATATCAACCGGTTAAGAGATACGAGCTCTAGTCGAGCACTCGTCAACAGAGTGATCGAGGGTAGAGAGCTATGGGGGAAGCAACAGCATCAGATCAAACTGTCTTTCCTTCTTCAACATGCACGAAACACAGAAACATCACAGCCGAAAGACAAGTTCTATGCTTTTCTTGGGCTCAGAAACCTCGGAGGTGAAGTACCCATCAGGTACGAGCCAAGCTATAGTATAAACGCCGTGCTTATGGACGTAGCAGGTGCGATCGTCAAGCACGAGGACTCAGGCCTTGACATCTTAGCGCAAGCAGGAACCGCGGTTCACAGTCGATACCTTGCCCAGGGTGACGATTCACTGCCATCGTGGGTCCCAGATTGGGATAAGCGGGAGGACATCGAGAGGCAAAAGTTCATTTATGCTTTGGAACTACCGCCGGCGTGTAACTCAGGCAGGAGTCATAACTCCAAAGCGTCTCTGAACTTTTTGAAAGACAGACATGGGAATGAGGGAAGAGTCCTCGATGCGGCGGCAACTCGAGTCGATACCCTCGGAAGCGCCCTCGATAGGGGCCATGACGGATTTTTGCCTTGGAAGTCCTTTTCTAGTTCGGATGGACAGAGACTTATTAGTACAACTAGCATTGCGCATTTTGGAGATGAGGTTTGGGTTCTTGACGGCATGAGCTGGCCGGTGGTGTTGCGGAGAAGCTCCGTCGATGACACAACTGCACTCCTCGCCATCGCAATGGTCCGTGAAACCCGTGAAAGCGGCACGGGTCAGCCTCATCAGATAATGTTTGGAGATAGAACTTTCTCAAGTGAGCCGGATAGAGTGGTAATAGTTTAAGTTGTTTCGGGTTGGAATGTCATGTCGCTGCTACATACTTCGTATTCTGCTTTACCTTTTTGACCTTAATACTCAATATTCACGAAAGCTCAAGGCAACTTTTTTACGAATTCCCCCCTTGAATTCGTCTGTGAAAAGTCTACTTCATCTGAGAAGCAGGCGCCTCATGAATGAAATGCTCCTTCGACTCCAAGTGCGGCAACAGAGAGCCATAGTACCTGTAGTGGCCGTCCTCTAGCCGTGTGACCGAGCTCCGCAGGTCACTTCTCCCATGAACCCTCGCTGTCGCCTCCCGAGCTTTGACGACATCGTCATCAACGATAACATTTCCATGCGTGCTCTTCCAAGTGATCTCGGCAAGCCCAGCACTGTCCTTGTAGCGGAATAGGCTAGCCTACCCATTTCGACCATTCCAAATCTACATGAGCTCCAGCTTCGGCATCCGGCAAGCCGCCAACGCAGCCAGCAAAAGCAATATCTTGATCTTGATACACCGCTCAATTTCTACTTCGCTATCGCCGCTTTCGCTACGGAACACCTCGGCAGTCAGAGTGAGCGTTTTCAGTTCCGGGAACCCAGCCGTGTTGTTCAGGAACTCGTCGGCATCGACGATGAAACACAACGCCATATTTTCTAGGAGAAGACACCCTTGGACCACGGAGCTTATGAGTTCTCCCCTGTCCACCTTGACTCCTCTCCGAAAAAGACGCAAGAAGTATAGTGTATGTGACGCTTCATGTGAGATTGCAAACTTCTTGACCGAAGCCGGAAAGCCATACCGGCATATATTATTCAGGCCCGGATAGATTCATAGAACATCAATCATCACATTAAGAACAAAGCGTCACATATGGCATTTGCAGACAATGAATTTTACCTTTAGGCCAGCGTCTCTCCTCATATTCGCTACGCAGCCGCCACCTCTCGACACAGATCTCCTTTAAGCGAGGAAGACTCTTGATGATTTAGTCCAAAAAATCCGGGTGAAGATTATGTGTATTTGCCCTACTTGTAAGCAACTTAGTGACGTTCTGTATGACTGGTAGCCGTATGCGAATCAGCCTGACGTAGTACAGCTCCAGAGAGCATCGAGGTACTTTGACCTATGTGGGTAAACCAGAGCGGGCCCGTGTGACCGAAGGGTTCAACATCATCATACTGCCCAAGATTCCCCGTCTCAAGATGCTTTGAATAGTGATTCACGCCGTCCTTGGGCATATAATTGGTATATATGCTGAGCCCCGCTAGGGTATAGGAGCTTATCTCGAGCGTTAACCCTTCTCTGGATTCCTGAAATCCCCATGACGCCAAAGTATCCCAGAGATACAGCATAGCGGGACCAAAGGGGCTCCTCGACTGATTCCAGGGTATATCCGGGTCCTCGTCCTCGGGGTCGGACTCCACGAGGCGGAGCCCGATATGCCGGACATAGCGCGCCGCCTGGGGCTTTGTGTGTGCTGTTGGAACGGGATGAGATCTCGCAGCCGCAGAACGAAGCATTTGAATGTTGTTTCCTCGAAGAAATCTTGCCAATCTTTGGATACGCTGCCGAAGCGGGCTATTCCGCGACGCGGTGAGGTGAAGAGCCGTGGGCATTGGCGAGGTCTTCCAGGATATGGAGCCGTAACTCCCGCGGCAGAGACGCCTAAAATGCCTTCGTGCCGTCCATTTGATTGTTTATTTGAGAATATAGCGTCAGACGAGAGGATGAGATGTTGTGGCTGAGAGGGAGTTGATGGATAAGGAGTAGTGAATGATGTTGTGAGTGCGTTCGTCGGGCTTCCATCAATCACTCCGCATGACAATTGTGACCCCACAATTCCCATTTTGGTGTGTTTGCCAGGGGGTGAGAGACAGCAACCAACAAGAACTTTGTCAACCCTGCAGAGTCCTGCAATGAGCTGCCATAAGGTAGTGCTATCGAGGCCAACTTGTTCCGCTAGCGCTTGGAGTCAGGGGTATAATACCGTATAGACGTATGGAGAAGCGATTGCGATCAACTATGTACAGAGCAAGTAAACAAGGATATTTACAAAGACTCAGAAAACGCACTTGATGAGCTCTCACTTGTATCCAATGATGACTGCCCAAAGCTCATAACTCATAAGACAGCTTTATTCTAAGGCACGCACTCATGGGCTCAGAGTATAAGTGACGTTGTTCCCGGGAATCCTTGGGTAGAACTCAAACGTGAACGTCGTCGCCTTGCCAGCGGAAATCACAGCCTGAACCGTAGCAGAAGGTAAAATAAGCTTGGCGCCATCAAAGTTCCACTGTCCGCTGAATGTCTATCCTCAATGTCAGTTTGTACTCTTTCATCGCCTTCATCCCACAAGACCATATTCTCAGGATAAGTCAGGGATCTTCACTTACAATATGAGCTTGCTGCAACGGGCCAAGGTATTGTGTCCAGTCATCAAATAAGTAGACCGCATCGCTCCGCAAAGCCTTGACAGCAGCAACTGTCTTGAGGCCCTTGTACGTGATGGGAATGTTCAAATCCGTGCCCGCAACGGCCTTAGAGCTTGTTGCATCCACTATCGGGACATCCCACTGCACGAGCTCGACCTGAGACGTGGCTCCCGCAGAGAAAACTAAGGTTAGGTTCGCCTTGCTCCCTGGCGCAGCGGTAGCATTTAAGTACTTCGACAAGAACGCCGCCTTGAATGTGATGGATGAAGCCGATGTGGTGTAATCCGTATTCGCAGCCAAGGTGGTTCCCGAAGTGGTCTTCACCGACTGCAAGGTATTGCCGTTGAACAACCATGGAAGCGCCTGATCCGCCGGCGCAGTTCCAACTTTGTTCCAGACGTACGCGGACGATGACTGCGTCGTAGCTGATGCGTCGACAGTACTGTCCGGCAAGGAATTCTTAGTCCCCTTGACGGCGGTGTTCACAATGCCGAGTGAAGTCGGGTCCCGCCAGGCATGCGCATTGCGATCAAGGTGATCCAACCCATTATCCCAAATCACAACAGCGGTATTCAACTCCGCTGCCGTCCGCACAAATTGATCCGTCCACTTCCACCGCGCAGCAGGCTCGGTATTCAACGGACTCGCATCAAACTCGCCAATCACCAACGGCACATCCGTAAAGTTGCCCCTCATAATCGCCATCTCGTTCCTCATCGCAGCCTTATCCGCATCCGAGCCCCAAATAGTCTTACCCCACGCGGAGAAAATAAAGTCATAGGGGCTGTAGAAGTGGTAGTGTAGCACCCAAGGGTTCTTGATGCTCGCGGGCGCCTTGAACCACTGCGTCGTCTTCGTGGCGTCCATGCCGCCGCCGACGAGGTTGACGACGCGGCGCGTGTTGAAGCCGCCGCTGTCGGCAAGGGCTTTGAGGAAGAGGTCGTTGAGGGTGTTTATGCGGGCGCCGTGGTCGGCTGTTGTGGCGGGGGGTTCGTTGATTGATTCAAAGGAGACGAGGTTGGGTTTACAAGCCAGTTTGCGGCTGATTTGGAGCCAGAGGTTGTAGAATTTGTCGTTTAGGGTTTGGATGTCTGCGTCTGTGGTTGCTTTGGTCACGTCGGCCCAGTTCCAAGAGTCTTTGCATGTTGTGTCAGCATATTGTTGAAAAGAATGGAGCGGACCTCGATGCTCTTACCGTGGTGGACATTGGTGAGAACGTAAAGACCACGGGCAGTGGCCATATCGACTACGTCTGACACGCGCTGCAGCCAAGCCGCGTCGACGGTGTAGTTGGGAGCTGCGCTGGTGAAGTGGTCACTGTAGGTGACTGCCGAATCATGAGCATGTCGCCACCTTTATCGAGTGCCGAGATGGACGTGGACTCACCAGGTATACGGACGCTCTTGAACCCCGCAGCTTTGACATCATCGAATGTTTTCTCAACGACCGGCGGGTTGTTCCAAGATCCCTCGTTGGGGATAGCATCAAGAGTGTTGCCCAAGTTCCACCCCGGGTTCATAGCCTTGATGTAATCCGCTCCCGAGATGTCACTAAAGGAGCCAGAACAAGCCGTGGGCGCGGCGCTGGCAGAAGAAGTTCTAACAGAGCTTGTTAATTGAGACGAGCTTGACGCGCGTGAGGTAGCAGTGGTTCCAGCAGTGGGGGGTTTCGAGGTGGACGTTAGAAGGGTGGTTGGGGAGGGCGAGCCAGCTCCCTCGAGACACTGTGAGTACCCTGATTATCGAATGAGCTGTTATTCGTGAGCCCGATAGTCAGAGACTTACAGTCATTTGCCTTTTTGCAATGCCATCCGGCTGTACATGTGGTCGGTCCCGTCCAGCCGCTACCACCGCATTGGCCGTACGGAGTCTGCTGGGCGAAAGCTGTCTGGACCAGTGCCAACAGCACGGCATGACTAATGGCTGATCTCATCGCGAAGGATGAAAGATTTTGGTTGCCGCGTCTACGGGACCAGGAGAATATAGATTCGTAGAGTTGTCTCGAGGGAGCCTGGCTGGTTATACATCGCATGCTGAAGCACTTACCTCGCGTGCAAGGTCAAACATACAGAAAAACCACTCCTCATCACAAATCGGATATTGACTTACAAGGCCAGGCCAACTGCCAAAACACATAGCATTGCGCTTGGTGGAATAACGCGTGAGATCATGGTGACCGCGGATGTAACGAATGGAACGAGCTGTAAAGCTGCAATGGCGGCGGCGAAGCAAGCGGAAGTTACTCCCAAACTAGACGATGAAAGATACGGGAGATACAGAATGACCCCGGATTCGGCATGCGGGCGATGTCCATTCTGTTTTGAGGACGGAGTGTGGCTTTCAGAGTCCCTGAAGAGGAAGTCTCACGATACCAAGGAGGGTTGTATCACGTAGACTAACGCTGGCCGAAAGAGGCAACTTTGTTTGCTGCCTCCGTTCCCCGACTTACCCCTCAATCATAGGCCAGGGGCAGGCTGCGTAGATCGAGGTCGTGGTTGGGAGTCAATTTACGCTTGTTTGGAAGCGAGCAGTACAAGGTTGCTTAATTGGTTTGACACTTTCGACCCTTGACCGTTGTCACCTATTTAATTCACAATGAGGGGACGGAGAGATTGAAGGGACCCCGAATCTGGAAAGCTTGTTTTCCTTTCTTCGGATCATGATGCTATTCGCTACTGAGTATCTCAACAAGGCAATTATTCGCCCGCGTATGGTGAGGGATATCCGCGAGCTGCTCGGGTTCTTCCGAGTCATGGCCTGGGATGCAGCCATCAACATCAGACGAATGCACTCGGTAGCTCATGTTCGGTATACCTATTGCTCCCGGCACGCTTATCGACCCGATTTGCCGGCCCCGCAACGAAAGCGCCGACCCGCAGTGATCCCACCACGCAACGAGCACCTTTATTCTGCTGCCATAGCTTGATCGGACATCGTTGTTGCTACCGTGATAAGTAGTGTAGTGAGGTCTGCTAACCTCTAATCATCGTGTTGACAGGGTGCCGTTGCGCAAGGTTTGTCGGCTCCCCGGACATTCGCTGTGATGCTCTCTTGGTAATCCCCAGGAGGGAGACGCAAACATCGCTGACGATCCCATCGCTGCTGCATAGTGGTAGGCAGTGGTTGAGTAGGGTTTCGGCACGTATTCGTCGCCTGATCAAGGAGGCGCATTTGCAGCGTCGATCCTTCGCCTCAGAGACTTCATCCGCCGAGGCTATCCTCAGGACCTCATGTCAGCATTGGGCTGGCTTAGGTCTAGACGCGAACACCGACTAGACCATATGTTCCTGTCTCGTGAAGATACTTCTCAGGCCACCCGAATGTGTACTGCTCTCTCGAATAATCATTCATCGCTTCGGCGGTCCAGGCGGCGGGGGCGAATTCGACGTGCCCCGGAACTGACTCTTCAGCTCCTCGATGAAGTACTGCAAGAACCCTCGGTCTTCAGGGTTCGCTATGTCCCAGATGTTAGCTACCTCTTGTCCAAGTGTCTTTCTCCCAGTGGAAATGAAATCCCCACGTACCAGTCGCCTGCCCTTGCCGCAGCGGCTGATGCGGCATAGGGCCGTTCCGCTTCTCGTCAACGTATCGATGAATCCGGCCGACGCCGCGGTGGAAGCCGGGACTTCTGAGGATCTGTGGGTTGGAGTACGGGGTTAGCTTGCTGCGTATGGCGGGGAGGATGGGGAGTCGCATACCTGGCGGATAAGTACGTCCTCGAAGGCCACAAGGGCGCGAATAAGCAAGTTCAGAGGCGGTGCCATGTTCAGCGCGGTGTTCAATGCAAAAAGATCATGGGTAAGAGACAGCGAAAGGCGCAGGCCCTGTGTGCGATAGTTTGCCGATTGATAATTCTCGAGGTTTGAAGCTTTCCCCGTGTTCAGCTAAGGGTGGCGGCCGGACCATCGGCAAAATAAAGTGGAAATGATCCCGATTAGTCATCGATATGGAAGCATCATGCATTTGGCCGCTCATTGGTTCAAGATCCACACGCATACCACGACCGAGATGTATCTGAATGAGAACACTTACAACTTTTCGCGACCCTCCTCCAGCTGTGAGCTATCATAGGTTAAAGAATTGCCGGGTAGGCATGAGGTGAGCACCGTCTGAGGTGTACGTGATCTAGTGGTGGAGTTGTAAAGCGTACGGGGCTCCGGAGGGGTTGCGAGCTTGAGTACGGTTGTGCTCACAATTGGTGGTCCTACACAATGCCACAGACAGCCGATTGTGGCTTTTTGGTGTATGATTCATGTTGCCGGCGTGTGCTTGCTGAGAGAGGGATGATTCATCTCATGGGTTGTGACGATACGAAGCGGCCTTGATTATGTGGGTTTGCTGAGTTAGGAACTCTTGTTATTTCAAACACGAATACTAGCCAAGGCATAGCCACGTACGTAGCAACTTTTGATGCTCTACTTCTTCACTCGCATAAGTCTTCTAGTATATGGAACCGCTTGATGTACTTGATGAGGCATAGAATCGTGTCTTGGGTACAAGAAGGCCAATTATATGGTGCTTACTAGGCAATTCCGAGCCTTATAGTCTACTAGTGCTTGCCGACGCCCCAACCTGCAAGCAAGATAGCAGTGCACTCTGCCATACGAAGCGTGAGACCTTTTGATTGACTCTGGTATAGATGTGTAGTGTTCCAGCCGGCATGATGCGAAGGCTCTCTGATGTGGCCAACAGGCGAGAGATACTGGGCGCGATTTAGTGAGGTTATTGGAGTGGGTGATCCTTACGAAGCAGCCCGAACAGGCCGCCTGGCCACAGCCTTAAATACGGTAACATCTATACATCTCAGGTGCTGGGAGGGCCAGGCCGAGTACCCGGTTATGAAGCCTGTTCATCCGCGTTGGGTGGACAGGAGTGTATGGCTAGGTAGAGAGCACTCTTCAACCGGCAAACTGGTCCCATTCACCCCAGTTGAGGGGCAGCCCGATATCGAGGTTAGCCTCCAGCGCATTATCAACAGCTGAAAGGTTGAAGCTCGGGTCGAAGTGGCCAAAGACATCAAGATGCGGCATCGCATCGACAATCGAAAAGTCAATGGCTTCCAGAGCCGGGAGCTCAGCAGTCGACGCAGGAGCCACAGGAGCCGACGGCGGCTCGGCCGGAGCCCCATCAACCACTAATGGCTCATCAAGTTTACCGTTCGTAGGAACATCGACAAGAGCAGCAACTGGCAAAGCCGCGCCTCCTTCTTGAGCCAGAGAGTTTGCAGCCCGCTCCATTTCTCGCAGTATCCGCTCGCCCAGTCCTGCGACGACCCTTGCGCTCCAGAAGACGTCGCCGAACCTCTTCATTAGCTCCGAGTTTGACTTGAATGCGCTGCGAGCGCGGGCGCGGAACATCGGCAGGGCGCTGTGTCGCATTTTGCGGTACTCGACACTGAGGGCTAGGGAGAGGGCGTATGGAACGAGGGGGACTGGGCTAAGGTGGTCGCGGCGGATGGCGGAGGATATTCGCTCGGCTGCGAGGGACCGTCGCGCGTTTGCTGAGGGCGGTGGTACTGATGATGCGTATTGTGCTGGGGGACCGGGTCGAGATAGGCGGCATGATAGGATGATCACGGCGTGGTAAAAGACCTCGATTGTCGCTTTTGAAGATTAACATCTTACGCCGACCAGAGGGGAAAAGAGAGCTTCTTGAACATACCAAGCAGTGGGGTAGGGACCTGTAAAGCATTGGCTTCGAGGATCATGGGTTCCAAGACAGGGAGATCGATAAATGGTTTTGCTTCGAGTGACTGAGCAATGACACCCGGACGGTAGAGCTCAATCACCTTGTCCAGCCACTGCACGACTGACAGAAAGAGTTGGAAGCAGGGCGCTTGTCTCCGGAAACAGTCATCTAACCCGGGGCCAATGTCACCCTCATGCAAGACGCAGGGTCTCCCGAACGTTGCCGCGTTAATACGATCCAGGGCCCAAACAGCGCAGAAAAGGGTATCGAGAGAGTCATTGCTAGAGTGAAAGAGGTGCAGCCCGAGAGTCTGCGAATGGTGCGCCGCTCTGGCGCCGAGTTGAGCGGGCAAATCTGCTTCATCGGCACCTGAAGGCTGAGCATAAAGTGACAGCATGCACAAGGCACGGATATGTACCGTCCGGTCCGAGATCAAACTCGTATCCAGGATGCCCCGTATAGAGCTCGATAGCGTCTGAGAGAAGTCTTGGTATGAGAGCCTCTTGTTTCCCTGCGTAGCGAGGCGCAAGTGGCTTTTCATGTTAGGGTCAGTCGCAGCAGCCAGACATACCACTTGTCGCATAACAATAGCTGCTGCGGAATCGCCATCGTCAAGGCTGTCGTCGGGGACAAGTCCGAAAATGGGGTGGATCTTCTCTCGATACACCTTGTGGAGATGTTTGTAGTCCTTCTCCGGCGGGACGCAGGTGAGACAATTCTGCTTGACATAAGGCAGTAAGACCTTGTCGATCATAGCAGACGGACGCGAGACAATCGACGTCGTCGACTGTGCCGAAGCGGCGTTGAGAGACGGGAGCCAAACACCTACTTCGGCCTTCTGCGTAGGGTTGGCGGCCGGATCTGAGTCGGCGGCCTCGGCGAACATGCCCTCCGGATTAAGATCGCCAACGAAGCGCGTCTGTGGAGTCTGCGCTGGCTCCGAATAGCCCGCCGTGGCAGACTCACGGCGGGCAGGGGTCGTGGTCAGCGCGGCATCAGCGGTCACGGACGCCGAGTGACGATGTTTGCTTGGTGAACCGGAGCTGGCGACGACATGTTGTCTTGGAAGAGGGTCTCAGTCAGTAAAAGAGATTCCCCAATGTTGCCTGATTAGGAAACCAACCCAGCGTTATCCGGCGGCGAAGAACCCGCACACCCGTCATGCGCGTGGTCCAACGGCGGAGGCTCCCCGTGGATGCAGCGTTTCTATAATTGTCATGTAAGAAGAAATGCTTTTTAGTCGAG